TTTTTATCATTATCCTGTTCTGCCTTAATAGACTTAGTTTTGCTTTGTATTGGGGTTTTCATAACTTGCACTTTAACGTGTTTAAAGTCAATTAATCTTTTCGCCCACCAGTTGCCTTTCTGAATTACCCAGTAGTTCTTTAGGTTAATATTCTTATAGTCACAAATTATTTTTGAAGGTGTTGTGCACACTACACAAATGTTTTGTGCCAATAAAGGGATTTTTGGTTAAGCAGAGTATTTATTGACTCATGTCCTGATATCTAAATAACTAATAGAGTCACTCTTAGATAAATTTTGTAGAAGTTCAAAGCATTTCTAAAATAGTTCTATTGTATCATCAGTCTTTGTGCTTATCCATATATCAATTATGACTCAATTATGACAGAGATGTTAATATTAAAATCTTTCAGTCAGAATATCGTTCTTGTAATGGTCAAAGGCTTAGTTTTTAGACTAAAAAAGTATATATAAACATATGTGCTTAATTACACTAATATTCAAACTAGATTTTTAAATATTATTCGAACTGATCGCAGTTGCGAGCATTTCAATATTCGAATGTGCTTGTTCTCGAGCATTTTAGTTGGGTAATGTCGAATGGGTGCTACGAGCAAGTCAAGAATTATTTAACGTGATTTTCTGCCGTGTAGACTTAACATCACGGTGTTCTTCACACACGCATCGGTATATTGCGCCGATGAATGCCCCATTGAAACGTCAGGGAATTCCGACGATGCCAATTAAGAAATATGTGTAAGACATAACTTCCACCTTGGTTTGATGCGAGACCCATCTAAACCTCTGCTGATCTTTGGGTCTCACCACCCGGTAGTGAATACGCAACTCCACGCCGAATAAATGAACATTCTCCATGCGTGGTTCTACGAGCAGTACGAAACTGTATGCAAACACACATAATGTTATATACATATTTATACGAAAATAAGTAAAACATAGAGTAGATTTGCTGTTCCAGCCATCGTAATGTTCGATCATATGAATATGAGATTCGAACATCAGGCTGTTCGAACATCGCAATGATTGAACACTTTGAAGTATATTAACTATTGTGGCGTTCACAATCTCAGATAAATGTTTGTTGATGTCACTTTGCTCTGTTACTGTGTTTCTCGGGTAGAGATCTGGTTACTCAAGATCGCGTGGCTTCCACTAATATATCTTTAATCATACAGAATAAATATTTATTTTTACTTTACTTTTTACTTATAATTACAATTAGATAATTTGCTTTTATTGAACCAAAGAAAAGAACAGTTTAAAATAGAATCGCCTGGAAGTACTTAAATAACACTTTATTATTACACCGATTACTAATCGTGTTAGTAAGATTTGTTACTTAATTAGTTTAAGGGAGATGTCATATATTGGTTTTAATAATTAAAATTATTAATCCTTG